CCGACGTCGCCCGAGGCCGCGGGGCCCCTCGAGGCCGCGCCGCCGGCGCCGGCGCCGCGCCGCCGCGCCGCCGCGTCCAAGAAGCGCGTCGTCGACGACGCCGACGCGGACGACGAGGACGAGGCCTGGGAGCCGGGCCGGCCGTCGAACATGGACCTCGACGACGACGAGCAGGAGCAGGCCGCGAAGGCCAAGCGCAAGCTCAAGCGCCGCTCCAAGAAGAAGTCGGCCAAGGCCAAGAACGCCGCCGGCGCCGCGCCCCACGCGCCGGTCTCCGCGCCGCCCGCGGCCGCGGCCGCCGCGCCGCCCGAGCCCTCGACGACGATCGCGCCCGCGGCGACGCAGCCGGTCCCGGCCCCGGCCGCGGCGGCCGCGCCGCCGCCGCGCCCGCTGCCCAAGATCCGCGTCTTCCCGCAGCTCTCCGAGGTCCAGAAGGCGCGCCTCCGCATGAAGGACCAGGAGCACATCCGGCGCGCGGCGCGGCTCCACGCGGCCGTCACGCAGGAGCAGGAGCGCAACGCGTTCCTGGAGCGCATCCAGGCCGAGGAGGTCCGCCGCGAGCAGGCCCGCATCGCGGCCGCGCGGCCCGTGCCGCCGCCGCCGAACCGCGCGACCGGCGCGGACGACGACAGCGACGAGGGCTGGGAGGAGAGCGACGAGGACGATCCCGTCGAGGACCTCATCCACCGCGAGCGCATCCGCGAGCGCGACCTGCTGCGGACGCCCGGCTGCCTCGCCCTCGGCCGCAAGGCCTTCCGCCTCGAGGACATGCCGCGCGTCACGGAGCGCGACCGCGAGATCCTGCGGCGCGTGCTCTACATCCTCCGCGAGGCCGAGCGGTTTTGCGCCGGCGTCCGCAGCGCACGCGTCGCGCCGTCGCCGGAAATGATTTGGGCCCCTCGACGCGCGCGATTGCGAGCTTCGACGCCTTCGAGGGGTTCGAGGAGTTCGCGTTCTCCGACGCGCGACGTTTTCGCAGGCGCAACTGCGGCGAGCTCGAGGTCCCGCGGCCGCGCGAGTGGGCGCTCTCCGAGCTCGGCGACACGATGACGACGGAGGCGATCCGCGCGCGCTTCGACCTGCGGCGCGACGACGGCGTCTTTTTTTGTGTGTTTTCGCGCGTCTCGCGGACGACGTCTCGCCCGAAACGAGCCCGTCGTACGCGCGACCGCCGTTGATGTGGTCCGTTACGCGTCGCAGGCGCCTCCAGCGCCTCTTCCCGAACCACGACTTCCGCCTCTCCTGGTCCGTGCGCTTCAACGTCGTCGTCCAGACCATCGACGCGATCGCGCTCGACTCGAACCTCGAGCTCACGCGCGTCGACATGGAGGTCCGCCGCTCCACGGTCGGCGTCTACGAGGACTCGCTCGCCTGCCAGCTCCTGGGCCAGACCTACTACGTCCACCCGGACAAGACGATCAAGATCACGGTCGACCTCGTCGTCACGAGCGAGGTCATCGGCGCGTTCCCGCGTCTGCGACGGCCGTCCTTCCGCGCGCGAGATCGTTTTCCCTCGCAGGCACGGCCCCGAGCCGCGCCGAGGTCCAGATCAAGGAGCTGGGCTTCCACTTCGTCGACCCGCTCGCGCCCATCGCGGAGAAGGAGATCGTGCCGCGCGTCCGCGTGTTCATCCCGTACCTCGGCATCGAGGGCTGGATCAGCATCACGTCGCGCGGCCCCGCGTCCTTCTCGACGCGCCGAGAGCTTCGTTCGACGCGTCGAGAGCCTCGCCCGACGCGCCCTTGGGACGCCACAGGTTGGACGACGGCCACCTCATCGTCGAGCTCAAGTACCTCCAGGCCATGCACGTCAAGAACCGCATGCTCAAGAAGTGCTGCTACACGCTCTACCTCCTCGAGCTCGCGGACAGGCTCCGGGGCGAGGCCTCCCGCGAGACCCTCAAGACGGCGCGCAAGAACGTCGTCGAGGTCCGCTCCCGCGTCCGCGAACCCGCGCCGACGCGAACGCGTCGTCTCCGTAGGCCGAGGGCGAGTACCAGCTCGCGCTGTCGAACTACCGCCAGATGGAGCTCTGGTGCTTCTTCAAGGTGTGTTTGTGGGTTTGCAAAACCATCGATCGATCGTCGCCCCCTCCGCAGCTCGACATGGCCCTGCTCGCGCGCCCGACGCTCGCGGGCGTCATCCGCAAGTTCGCGAACGCGATCGCGCGCAAGGCCGCCGAGGCCCGCGGCGAGACCTTCGTGCCCACGCCCTACGACGAGACGGCCGTCGACGCCGTCGTCGTCACGGCGGTCCCGCCCGTCGCGCCCGTCGTCGCGCCGGAGCCCGCGCCGCCGGCCGTCGCGGCCATGGACGCGAAAAGCCCGCGTCCGTCGTTTGCACTCGTTTTTTGTTCGAATTGTTCGTTTCGTAGGTCTCGGCGCCGGCGGGCCCGCCGCTCAAGGCGCTCGAGGCCATGTCGGCCAAGGAGTGCACCGCGGAGCTCGACGCCGCGGGCGTGCCCAAGAAGGGGCGGAACGTGACCAGCCACGGCGTCACGACCGCCACCGTCCGCGACCTCGTGCGCCGCCTCCGCGCCGGCGAGCCCGCGGCGACGATCAAGGTCCCGCGGAAGCCCAAGTCCGCGGAGGAGCTGTTCGTGCTCGACAAGGCGGAGCAGCTCGCGTGCCGCGTGAGGACCCGGCGTCTGTCGACTTCGAACTTTCGCGCGCGGACACTATTCTCGTCGTAGGCCACGCTCGTCGCGGACGGCGCGAAGAAGGTCGTCTTCCAGTACGGCCGGCCGGGCAACGGCACGGACTACCTCGTCGCGCGCTGGCGCGGCCTCGCAGAGACGGACCCGCTGCGCCTCGAGTTCGACGAGCTCGCGCGGCGCGACGTCGCCGCGGCGGCGGCCGACGAGCTGCCCGTGGACCGGCTCCAGCGCGCGCCCGACCCCGGCCTCGTCAACATGCCGACGATCTGGCCGCGCATGCGGTTCCCCGTCCGCGTCGCGACTTCGAGGCGTCGAGCGACGGAGGCTCTTTCCCGCGTTCAGGTACGCGCAGCCGGAGTGCGGCGTGCGCTACCCCTACGGCTCCAAGCTCGGCCTCTTCAAGGGCCGCGTCGGCGGCGGCGTCCGAGATTTCGAGCGACTGGCGTCCGTCTTGTCCGAGACGCGCGTCCGCGAGAGACTCGACGCCTTCGATTCGACGCTTCGGCCGCGCGAAACTTCCGCGCGCTCTAGTGCTTCGGCTGCTGCGTCTGGGCCCAGTGCGCCGCGCGGCCCGAGGAGTTCCCGAACCTGCTCAAGGCCCTGGCGACGGTCCCGCGCGTATGCGAAGCCGCGTCCTCGGTTTCGAGCCCTCGGAGCGACGCGACGTCTCACGTAGGTCTCGCTCTACCTCACGGCGGTGCTCCGGCCCGCGCCTCCTGGCCCACGGCGCGCATCTCTGGATCGCGCCGCCGCTCGCAGGTCGACGTCAACGACATGGAGACGCTCCGCGCGCGGGCGCGTCGGACGGCCGCGTCGGCCTCGAACGTGTTTTCGAGAGCGCGCGCGCGAGATCGAGGCTCTCGCTCCAGGGTCGCGTTCTGCTCGTAGGCATGTGCTACCGCGTCATCCGCGACGCGAAGCGGCGCATCGCGAACCAGCCGCCGCGGGCCGAGGACGACGACTGCCCCGCGTACTACGGCGTCGACTACGTGGTGGCCAACGGGAAGCCCGTCTGCCGCTTCACGGTCCACGAGGGCACGAAGACGAGCAGCCTCAAGAGCGCCCCGGCGGACCGTCGGCGTTCCCGCGTCCAATCCTTTTCTCGAGACGCACCTTAATCCGCGGCCCGTAGCGCGCTTCGAGGCCTACAAAGGCGGCGGCGGATCCCGCGGCAATGTCCTGAAGCACCCGACGGCCGTCGCCGTCTACCGGCGCGATTGCGGCGTCCTCGTGTTCCCCACGCCCTCATTCGCCCCTCGCAGCGAGCGCCTCGAGCGCAAGAACCGCATCGCCGGCGGCGCGGCCGCGGCGTCCGGACCCGTCGTCGACGTTCGAAACCCGTCTCGCGCGTAGGCATCGCCGTCTTCAACTTCCCGTGGCACCCCTACGCGCGTCGCCGGCGCGGCCCGCGTCCTCGTGTCATCACTGTGTCAAATTGTAGGAGGCGCTCCGGTCGCTGGAGAACGCCTTCTCCGAGTTCATGCCGGTACGTGGCTCGCTCGCGGATCCCTCGTTCCGACGCGCGCCCTTCGCAGGAACGCTTCTACGGCATCACCGACTTCCACGTCCCCGAGGGCAAGTTCCAGGCGCTCGCCCAGATCCCGGGCTCGGGCAACGTCTCCAGCGGCCGCATCGTCTTCGGCACCTACGACTCCAAGGTCGAGGTCGCGCCGCCGCGTCCCCGGAGTCCCGCGCGGCGACGGACCGCGACATCTTCTAGGCCGCGGCGCACTTCAACATCGGCACGACGGTCATCGGCCAGATCGTCGGCCAGCGGCTCCGCTGGCTCAACGATCCGATGGACCCGGGCGCGACCGCGGCGTCTCGTTTCGCGAAAACGCGTTCGCGACGCGCGACCCCTCGCAGAGATCGCCGCGGTCAAGGCCTCCTGCTCCAGTGTCTCCCATCGACGTCTCCGCGACGTCGCCCGCGTAGGTCTCCATCCAGGAGAAGCACCGCATCTCCGAGGTCGTCGTCGCGCGCATCGAGGAGGTCAACGTCGCGCGCGCCGAGGCCGAGAAGCCGCTGCCGCCGCTCCACGTCGCGGGCGTGTCGCGGCGTCGACGCTTTGAAGCCATTCCCAAACCGCACGCCAATCACAGGCCTCGAGCGCTACAAGGCCGACTTCGCGCTCCAGCTCAAGGATTTGGCGTACGTCGAGGCCGCGGACGAGGCCTACCTGCGCGACCAGGCCGCGGCGTTGGCGCCGCCCGAGCCCATGCCCGACGGCTCGCGGCCGCCGATCGACGCGCACTCGCGGCGCGTCGCGCGCGCGGGCCTCGCGAACACGTTCGAGCGCATGATCGAGCGCCGCCGCGACCGCGCCGCGCGCGAGCGCGAGGAGGCCCAGGCGCGACGCCGCGTCCCGTTTCTGACAATGCTTTCATGACTCGTCGGCCCCACGCAGACCGCCGCGTCCACGGCCGCCGTCGCGAACTTCTACCGCGACCCGTGCGGCCTCCTCGAGCCGCGCGCGCTCGCGCCGCCGGGCCAGCCGCGCCGCGTCGCCAAGCTCTACGTCGTGCCCAACTGCGAGGTCGTCACGCCGCCGCCGCCGCCGATCTACCACGTCACGGAGAACGGCGAGCGGCTCCTCGTGCTCTACGCGACGCGCGTGCAGCGGCCGCTGATCCCCGCGATCCAGCAGGTGCACAAGCAGCGCGCGGAGTTCCTCTCGCTCTTCGACGAGTCGGAGGTCGAGATGGCCGCGGCCATGTTCGACTCGCGGCCCATCGAGATCGCCCGGCCGCTGCTCTTCGAGTCCGAGGAGGACGCGGAGCGCCGCGCCGAGCCGGCCGCGCCGAAGCGCAAGCGCAAGTCGCGCAAGAAGAAGCGCAAGGTGCGCGCCCTCTTTCCCGTGTCCTTTCAACCCCGATGATCCCTCTTCGCTCGCAGGCCGCCGCCGCCGCCGCCGCCGCCGCCGCCGCGGAGCGGGGCGACGAGGCGGCGCCCGCGGCCGACGGCGCCGCGGCGGAGCCCGTGGCCGCGCCCGAGGCGCCCGCCGAGGCGCTCGCCGAGGCGCCGCCGGCCGCCGCGCCGGCCAAGAAGAAGAAGAAGAAGCGGTCGCGCCGCCGCGGCCCCGCGCCGCCCACCGAGATCTCCGAGTACGAGCGCACGCGCATGCGCAACATCGCCGCGGGCAACAAGAAGCTCTACTCGCTCGGCCTCATCCACCCGCCGCCGGAGGTCGTCGCCGACCCCGAGCACTCCTGGTGGTCCGAGCGCGCGAGGACCCGCGTCTTTTTTGTTTCGCGCCTTCGACGCGCGCTCCCGCAGGCCCAGTCGTGAGCCTCGGACCACGACGCTACCCCAAGCTCCCCTGTCTACGAACCCCACTGCATGAACCCCCCAGCGCTTACCCTCGCGGCCCGCGCCCGACGCAGTCGCCCCGCGCCGAGCCCCCCGCGCCCCCGTAAAAAGGCCCTCAGCCACAGGTCGGAGAGCGTTTAGGTCGGAGATCGTGTAGATCGTCGTGCAGGAGCCCTCTGACGTCGAACCGCCCGGCGGAACACAGCGACGGTGATCGGTCGACGCGAAACGCTGCGTTTGGCGCCGAAATCATTCGTTTTCGGGCTATTCGAGGCCATCTGGGACCAGAACGACCTCTCCCACGCCGATTTCGCACCCCGGGGAAACTCCAACGCCTTCGCCGGCACGTAGCACATGTTCCACGCCTTCGACAACGCCCAGCCCGCCAGCAGCGACAGCGACCGCACCGCGCCGCCCGTCCTCGCTCTCGGCGTTTCGGCGCCCGGCGGACATGCGCGAGTCGTCGAAGTTTCGACGCGACACCAAAGATCCGTCGCACCATCGACTCGCACCATCACGGCAAGCCTCTGGTTGCGAGCGCGTCCGAGAATTCGTCGATGCGCCGCCGCATGGCTGCATCGCTGAATCGGCCCGCTGCCTGGCGACGCCGCGGCCTCGCGCGCACCGCTTTCCCGGCGCCGAGGAGCTGGCCGAGGACGGTCCATGGGTCGGGTGCGGCAGCGAGACATGCGAGGTCGCGCGGATGCCCCTGCGCGCGCGGCGCGGCGGCGGCGAGGAGCGCTTGCCACTGCCCGATGTTGCTCAGCTCAATCAATCCAGAAATCAGAAATCGTGCACCGCTGCGCGAGTTTTCGCCCGGACGCCCGCCCGACGCGCTCCGGGAGCCGTGGCCCCGGCGGGCGCACCTTATAGAAATTACGAAGGCCGAGCCCCGGAGCTCCAACGTCCAGAAAACGGCGAAACCGCCCAGGCCCCAACGGCCGCGCGCGCCGGTCCCGCGAAACCGCGCGCCGCTCGCCGCGATCGCGACGGATTTCCGCGATTTTTGGACGGATCGTTCGCGCTCGGCGCCGTCGTCGCGGCGGACGCGGCGGAGGCGTCGCCCGGGCCGCGGCGCCGCGTCGACCGTCTGCGCTCGTGCACGCCGAAGCGCTCGAGGAGCTCGCGCATCTGCTCGCGCTCGATGCCGTGCGCCTTGACGTAGTCGAGGCTCAGGCCCGCGGCCTTGACAATCTCCTCGATGTCCGCCTGCGGTCGGGAGGCGCGTCGGCGGCAAGAGAGTATCGCGCGCGAGAGGCGCGCGAGCGGCTCGCCAGCCCGTCTCACGCACGAGAGAGTCTCGCGAGAGCGTATCGGGCGAGCGGCTCGATTCGCGGCCGCGACGAGTCTCGCGCGAGTCTCACGCGAGTCGCGTCGAGGGACGCCGCGACGCGCCGTGGCCTTGTCGGCGGCGTACTGCAGAAATTGGTCCATCTCGTGTTCCAGACGAACGCTTGCGGTCCCCGAGAACGCCTTTGTTCGGACCATTCCGGAGCGCGAGATCCGAGCGACTTTCGAGAGGCGCGAAATCATTGTTCGAGCTGGTGATGGCTTGGCAGAGGTTCTTGTGATGTTGTGTGAAAGTGACTAGGCACTGGCGATGCTCGAGCGGTTGCGAACGCGTCGACGCCGAAGCAACGATTCTGAATGGATCGTCGGTCGAGAGAGCGTCAACAGTGTGACAACACGATGTCAACATCCGTCGATCGGCTCGCCGCGCCCTCGATTTGAGGGCGTGAATCAACGGTAGTCTGCGTGGGCGACGCGTTCGACGCCTCGCCGCACGCCCAATTCTCGAGAAGACCCACGGTAGAACGGTCGGCCGGGCCCCCGCCGCGCCGGCCATGTCGTCGAACGCCACGACGTCCTCCTCGTCCTCGTCCTCGTCCTCCGACGGCGAGCGGGGCGCCGACGACTCCATCTCCTTCTCCGTCTTCGTCGCGGCGCTCCTCTTCGTCTTCCTGCTCCTCGTCTTCGACGCGATCCGCGCGCGGCTCTGGTGGGTCTACGAGCCGCGGCTGCACCACGCGGCGTACAAGCGGCGGACGCCCGCGCCGCCCGGTCGCGGCCGGTTCCGGTGGGCCGCGAGCGTCATGCGGCTCTGGAGCGACGAGGACTTTCTAGTCTACGGCGGCGTCGACGGCCTGGTCATCATCTACTTCCTGCGCTTCGCCTTCGACCAGTGCCTCTTCGCGTCCGTCGTCGGCCTCGTCGTGTTGGTGCCGGCGTACCACTCGGGCCGCGGCCTCTACAGCCGGCTCTACGACGACGACGGCGCGGAGAAGAAGTGGTCCTTCTCTCTTACTACCGTCCAGAACATCCGCTGCCGCTTCGACGAGCGCGACACGCTCGGCGAGAACCCGCTGTTTCCGACGTGCGAGAACGGCGAGAGCGCGGTGAGGTTCGCGCTCGTCGTCGCGTGCGCGTGGCTCTTCACGCTGCGCGCCCTGTCCCAGCTCAGCGCCAACTACCAGAAGTTCGTGCACCTGCGCCACTGGTATTTAAGCGTCGGGCTGTCGAGCCGCGCGCCGGACGTGGAAGCGCAGCGCGCTTTGACCGTCAAGCTCGAGAACGTGCCGCGGGGCCTGCGGACGACGCGGCGGCTCGCGGCGAAATTTGAAACGCTCTGCGGCGCCGGCGCCGTCCACTCCGCGTCGGTCATGATCGACGGGCTGCGCGACCTGGACCGGCTCTGCGCGCGCCGCGACGCCCTGTGTGGAAATCAAATCTTCAACCCGACTTCAATGTGCGCGTAATCGAACGGTTTAGACCAGGCTCTTCGACTGCGCTTCAAGAACTCGACGAGAGGAATCGATTCGTCCAAAAATCAGCCGAATCGACTTCGAATTGGCCGAGATAGAGAGTTCTGAAGTTTGGTGGGGACCCCCCAAACCAGTGGTTGATTTCCACACAGGCGACGCCGCGCGCGACGCCTTGGAGGACGCGCTGTCCAAGCGGGCCAAGCACGCGCACGACCTCGTGTCGCGGCGCCAGCGGTCCGGGTCCGCGGACTCCTCGAGCACGCGGGGCCGCGCCGCGTCGGACGCGACGCCGCCGCCGCCGCCGGCCGCGACGCCGCCGCCGAAGACGGTCCGCGTGAGGCCGCGGCCGTCGGCCTTCGGCTGGGTCGGCGAGACGCTCAAGTCGGCGACGCCCGGCCGGCGCCGGCGGCCGCCGTCGCCGCCGGCCGTCGCGCCCTGGTTCGAGCAGTTCGACGAGACCGCGGAGTGGGCCGTCGTCGACGTGTCTTCGTCGAAGAAGACGCCCGCGGACCGCGTCTACGCGTCCGCGGGCGGCGCCACGGCGAGCCACCAGCGCCGCTGGCGGTCCGACACGATCGCGAGCGTCGACGCGGGCGCGCGGCGGTCGCTGAGCCGCGAGCCCCCCGTGCCCCTGGTCGCGCGGCGGAGCCCGGGGCCCCTCGCGCCCGCGATCCCGGAGGCGACGTCGGACGAGGAGCGCGAGGACGTCGTGCTCCGCCACGTGCCCTGCGGCGCCTGCGGCGACCTGGGCTGCCTCGGCGGCCTCTTCGGGTCCTGCGGCGGCCGCTTCGACGGAAAATTTGTGGCGTCGATCCCCTACTACGAGCAGCTCGTCGCGGAGCTGAACCAGGCCATCCTCCGGGAGCACTTCGCGCGCGTCGCCTTCGCCGAGCTGCCGAAGACGCCGTCGAAGCTGCTCCTCGCCGGCGACGCCACGGATTCGCGGCGCACGCGCGGCTGGCGCGGCTGCTTCTGGCGCGTCGACGACGACAGCTCGGGCGACGACGACGACGACCGCGACCGCGACGTCGAGACGCCCCGAACGGGGGGCGTCGACCTCGCGCCGTCCTTCGGCGACACGCCGGACTCGGACTCGCTATTCGAGAACTCGCCGTCCGACCGGTCGCGGCGCGCGTGGGAGCGGACGCGGCGCACGGAGGTGCGCCACGACGAGCGCGTGCTCGACGGCGAGGCGCACTGGGTCACGCTCCTGGGGAGCCTGCCGTTCGCGGAGTCGCGGCCCCTGCTCCTCGCGCGGTCCCGGGCCTACGCGCGCGCCGCGCTCCGGTCGCTCCCGCTGCACGTCGACGCCGCGCGCCTGGGCGCGTACGTCGTCTTCCGCGACTACGTGTGCTGCGGCGCGCGGCCCCGCCACAAGGAGGTCCGCGGCGGCGACGAGGGCTTCGCGCCGTCGGCGACGGCCTTCGTGACGTTCCGCCGGCCGACGGCAAAGGTGCTGGCGAAGACGGCGCTGCTGTCGCCGCGGCCCTTCGCGATGCGCGCCGAGGAGGCGCCGGAGCCCCGCGACGTCATCTGGGAGAACGTCTACCAGCACATCGACTCCGTGAAGCGGCGCCAGTGGATGGTCAACGGCCTCGTGGTGACGCTCATGCTCTTCTGGACGACGATCACGGGCTTCTGCGCGAACGCGACGAAGCTCGTGGACTTGTTGGGCTACAACCCGCGGTCGGCCCTCGCGCGGGGCGTCGCGTCGATCCTGCCCGTCGTCTTCCTGTTGTCGATCCTCAACCTGCTGCCGCTCATCTTCCAGGTCATCGGCCGGTTCTACGCTGTGTGGAAATCAAATCTTCAACCCGACTTCAATGTGCGCGTAATCGAACGGTTTGGACCAGACTCTTTCGCTGTGCTTCGAGAACTCGACGAGAGCAATCGATCCGTCCAAAAATCAGCCGAATCGACTTCGATTTGATTGAGATAGAGAGTTCTGAAGTTTGGTGGGGACCCCCCAAACCAGTGGTTGATTTCCACACAGGTTCTACGAGCGGCTCAAGTCGCACTCGGAGGTCGACCTGAGCGTCGTCGACCGCTTCTTCCGCTTCCAGTTCATCAACGTCTACGCGGCCATCGTGTCGTCGGCGATCCTGAGCGACGTCAACGCGGCCTGGAAGTCGCCGCTGACCTTCGTGACGCGGCTGGGCTTCGACACGCCCGAGGCCGCGTTCTACTTCGCGAAGCTCATCGTCTTCCAGTGCGGCTCGTCGCCGCTCTGGCTGCTGCGCGCCTGGCCCCTGGTCTCGCGGGGCTTCAAGACCTGGACGGTGCAGCCGCCGGAGCTGCCGGGCATGCTCTACGGCTGGGCGTTCCCCAAGGTCATGATGACGTTCACGATCTTCTCGACGTTCTGGGTCTTCGCGCCGCTGCTGAGCGTCATTTCGCTGGTTTACTTTGCGCTCGTGGGCTTCGCCTTCCGCTACCTCATCCTCTTCGTCCACATGCCCGTCTACGAGAGCGGCGGGCGCTTCTACTACGAGATGGTCGACCGCGTGCTCTTCGCGCTCACGGTGTCGAACGGCATCCTCTTCTGCTGGTTGTTGGCGCGGAGCTTGGTGGGCTACGCGCTCCTCGTGCTGCCCCTGCCCTTCGTCGTCAAGGGCTTCGGGAGCTTCGCGGAGGAGGCCTACGGCAAGCCGTCGCGCGCCGTGAGCCTCGACGTCGCGGTCAAGGCCGAGGCGGAGCGCGCGGTGCCGTCGCACCGCTTCGACGCGACGTTGTACCGCCAGCCGGCGCTGCGCAACGTCCAGGGCGCGACGCTCGACGCCGACCGCGAGCTCAGCGCGCTCCTCCTCGGCCAGACGCCGCGGCCCTCGAAGCGGCGCGAGGACCCGCATCCGCTCGCGGCCATCGCGGAGGTCGAGGACGCGGCGCGCCGGGCGGCGCGCGTCGACGCGCGCCACTTGCTGGACACGCTGCGCCCGGACGTCGCGCGGCCCCACGAGGCCACGCGGGCCGACCGGCGCCGCGTGTCCGACCGCCTCGACGCGGCCTACCGGGGCCAGGCCGAGTTCTTCAACGAGCTGCCGCGCTACGTACGCGCGCCCCCGCCGCCGCGGCACACCCCGCCGGGCGACCGGCGGGCGACGATCGCGACGACGCCCGCGACCGCGCCGCGGACGCTGCGGCGCGCCGCGTCGAGCCCCGGCGACGACGAGCCCCCGGGCCCCGCGGCGCTGGACGGCGCGCGCCGGGAGACGCTGTAACGTTACTGGCGGACGACCTCCATCTCGGAGATGAGCTGGTGGACGCCGAGCCGGAGCGCGTCGCCGGTCCGCCTCGTCGTCACCTTCGTGATGCCCCGGAAGAAGGGGCCGTTGCGCGTCGGCAGCTGGAGCACGCGCACGCTCTCCCCGTCCTCGATCTCCACGCGGAGGCTCGCCTCGTCGTGGGAGAGGGAGATGGCGCCGTCGGGCAGCGCCGCGGGCACGGGGATGGTCACGACGAACTTCGCCTTCTCGTCCGTGAACGCGTAGTTCTCCACGGCGAGTCGCGGCTTCGTGGCCCGGTGCGCGGCGGCCTTCTGCCGGAGCTTGCCCTGGACGTCCTGGAAGTTGCCCTGGACGTCGAGGCGCGCGGGCTCGATGTCGTCGACCACATGCGTCTGCTCGACCTCGTGCGCGTAGTAGTAGGACGAGGCCCCGTTGGCCCGCCGGTTCGCCTGGAGCGCGCTGTCGCCGTCCTTCTGGCTCGGCGCCGCGGCGTCGATGCGCGCGGGGGGCCTCGCCGGGGCCTCCCGCCTGGGCAGCAAAAGGGTGCGAAATTCCCAACTTCAAAGGCTCCTCTCTCGGCCGGTTTCCACTCGTTTCGGCTGATTTTTGGACGAGCGATCATCTCTTGGAACGGTCTCGAAGCGTGGATGCTTTTTCCAGAACGCGCGCGCGCGGAACACTCACGTTGAAGCGACGTTGAATCACTCTTGTCCTGCCCTGCCTCCCGCCGGTCGCCGTGCGCGTAGTAGTAGGACGACTCGCCGTTGCTGGCCAGGGACGCCTCGAGCGCGTTGGGCGACGCGCCGCTGCTCGCCGGGGGCGCCTCGAGCGCATTGGGCACCTCCCGCCGCCCGGCCGCGGCGCCGCGCTCGACGAACTCGACGCCCGCGCCGCCGGCCGAGACGACGGGCACGACCGTCTCGTCGTCGCGCGCCTGTCGCCGCGGCCGCGCGGCGTCGCGCTCGACGAACTCGACGACGGGCACGACCGTGTCCTCTTCGTCGTCGTCGTCGCCGGCCGGCGCCGCGGGCGGCCGCGCGGCATCGGCCGCCTCGCGCGCTCGCGTCGCCGCCGCGGCCGCCTCGTCCTCGACGCGCTGCGCCGCCGCGGCGACCTCGCCGGGCGTCGAGCGCCGCAGCGTCTTGAAGCTCACCCAGCCCGCGCAGGCCGGCGACGACACGCGGGCGCGGGGCGTGCCGGAGGCCGTGCGGCCCTCCTCGAGCAGCTCCACCAGCGTCGCGGCCTCGATCTTCCCGACCTTGGCGCTCGTCAGCTCCACGCCGTCGCGCACGGCCGCGCCGCCCTTGAGGACGACGTAGAGCTTCTTCGACGGCATCTCGGTGGTGCTCGGCGTGGTGTCCTTGGCCGTGGAGCCACTGGAGGGCGAGAGCACTAAAGTTTTGCCACAACTTTTTTTGTGAAGCCGGCCTTGGCGAAGCGACGTCGCGACGATGGCCATCGCAAACGCGGGCGGCGCCCCCCAGATCATGTACGTGGACACGTCGAACGAGCCGAAGACGGACGAGGAGGCCGTGTCCATGATCACCAAGGCGCTGGCCGTCGCGACGGTTTCGGCGATGCGCGCCGACCTTTACTTCAATTTGGGCAACGCCCAGGAGCGCCGGGGCTTCCCGGAGCTGGCGGCGGACGCCTACCGGTCCTGCCTCGGCGTCGCCCCGGACCGCGCCGACGCGTCGAACAACCTCGCGCTGTCGCTCGCGCGGCGCGGACACTACGGCGAGGCGGTGGCGGTGGCGCGCGCCGCGTTGGACCGGCTACCCGTCGGCGCGCCGGGCCGCGCGGACCTCTGGACGAACCTCGGCGTCGCCCTCGAGCACGGCGACCCGCCGCAGTTCGACGAGGCCCTGGCCGCCTACGAGGCCGGCGTCCGCGAGAGCCGGCGCGGCGACTGCAAGCCTTTGACGAATTTGGGGGCGCTCCGGGGCGCCATGGGCGACGTCGCGGGCGCCGTCGACTGCGCGCGCGCCGCCGTCGCGCTGCAGCCCGAGGACCCCTACGTACGCTACAACCTCGCGTCGGCCCTCGACGACGCGGGCGACGAGGCCGCGGCCGTCGACGAGTACGGCCGGGCGTTGGCTTTAAAGCCGGATTTCGCGGCCGCGCACAACAACGCGGCGGCGCTCCTGGAGCGCGCGGACGCGCCCGACGTCGCGCGCATCCGGCGCCACTACGAGGCCGCCGTGGCCCACGACCCGGCGGACTACGACTACCGGTTGAACCTGGCCGCGTTCCTCGCGTCCGAGGGCGACGACGGCGCGGCGGACGTCTTCGCGGCGGCCGCGGCCGCGCGGCCCGACCGGCCCGAGGCGCTCCTCGCGCTCGCGGAGCTGTACGCGGCCCGGGGCAAGATCGACGAGGCCTTGGATTTTGCGAAGCAGGGGAAGCTCCAGGCGCCCGGCGACGAGAGCGCCGCGGCGCTGCTCCGGGAGCTCCTCACGATCTGGCGCGACTCCCTCGACGAGACCCAGGTCCTCGCCGACGCCCTCGAGCACGAGGCGCGCCTCTGATTGTGACACTTTTTTAGAGGGGGCGGCGGCGGGCGTCGGGCCCGGCGCCGGCGGGGTTGCCGCCGCCCGTCGACGTTCGGGGCGGGGAGCTCGGGGTCGCGACGGGGCCGCCTAGCTCTCGTAGACCTCCATGGGCGGGCAGGTGCAGATGAGGTGGCGGTCGCCGTGGACGTTGTCGACGCGGCCCACGGTGGGCCAGAACTTGTTCAGCTTGACGTAGGGCATGGGGAACGCGGCCGTGTCGCGGCTGTACTGGCGGTCCCAGTCGTCGGTCATGACGTCGGCCATGGTGTGGGGCGCGTGGTGGAGGGGCGAGTCCTCGAGCTTGACCGCGCCGTCGGCGACGGCGGCGATCTCGCCGCGGATGGCGATCAGCGCGTCGCAGAAGCGGTCGAGCTCCTCCTTGTCCTCGGACTCGGTCGGCTCGATCATCAACGTGCCGGGCACGGGCCAGGACATGGTCGGCGAGTGGAAGCCGTAGTCCTGGAGGCGCTTCGCAACGTCCTCCTCGACGACGCCGCACTTCTTGAAGGACCGCAGGTCGATGATGAACTCGTGCGCGCACTGGCCGTTCGCGCCGCGGAAGAGGACCTGTGCCGAATTCAACCGCCGGTTCGGGCGGTCCCGACCAAACTTTGAAATTCTCTCGCTCGGTCAAATCGAAGTCGATTCGGCTGATTCTTGGACGAATCGATGGCTCTCGTCGGATTCTCGAAGCACAACAGAAAAGGTTGCGTCGAAACTGTCGCATATGCGCACATTGAAGTCGGGTTGAAGATTTGAATTCCGCGCGGAAGAGGACGTCGTACGACTCCTCCAAACGCTTGGCCATGTAGTTGGCGTTGAGGATGGCGATGGCCGACGCGCGCGTGAGGCCCGCGGCGCCGAGCATCTTGATGTACATCCAGGAGATGGGCAGGATGAGCGCGGAGCCGTAGGGCGCCGCTGCGACGGCGCTGTCCTTGCCCGCGGACTCGCCCGTGATGGGGATGAGCTCGTGGCCCGGCAGGTGGGGCGCGAGGTGCTTGCCGACGCCGATGGCGCCGACGCCCGGGCCGCCGCCGCCGTGGGGGATGCAGAAGGTCTTGTGCATGTTGAGGTGGCAGACGTCCGCGCCGCAGACCTGTGTGCAAATCAAATCTTCAACCCGACTTCAATGTGCGCATATTCGAATGTTTTGACACAAGCACTTCTGCCGTGCTTCGAGAACTCGCTGAGAGCAATCGATTCGTCCAGAAATCAGCCGAATCGACTTCGATTTGACCGAGCTAGAGAATTCTGAAGTTTGGCCCCGACGTCCCAGCTCACTGGTTGATTTCCACACAGCCGCAGACGCCGGGCGACGTCAGGCCGCACTGCGCGTTCAAATTCGCGCCGTCCATGTAGACCTGGCCGCCGCACGCGTGGGTCTTGGACGTGATGTCCTGGACGGCCTCCTCGAAGACGCCGTACGTCGACGGGTACGTGATCATGATCGCGGACAGGTTGTCCTTGTGCTTCTCGGCCTTGGCGTTGAAATCTTCCAAATCGACGTTGCCCGCGGCGTCGGACTTGACCGTGACGACCCGCAGGCCCGCCATGACGGCCGACGCCGGGTTCGTGCCGTGCGCCGACACGGGAATCAAGCAGACGTCGCGGTGGCCCTGGCCCTGGGACGCCTGGTACGCGCGGATCGCCAGCAGCCCCGCGTACTCGCCCGACGCGCCGCTGTTGGGCTGCACCGAGACAGCATCGAAGCCCGTGATCTTGCACAGGTCCGCGTTGAGCGAGTCGATCATCTCGACGTAGCCCGCCGTCTGGTCCACGGGCGCGAAGGGGTGCACGTTCGCGAACTCGGGCCACGTGATGGGGATCATCTCCGCCGTCGCGTTCAGCTTCATCGTGCAGGAGCCCAGCGAGATCATGGAGTGGTTCAGCGCGAGGTCCTTGTCCTCCAGATGCTTGAGGTAGCCTGTGTGGAAATCAACCAGTGAGCTGGGACGTCGGGGCCAAACTTCAGAATGCTCTAGCTCGGTCAAATCGAAGTCGATTCGGCTGATTTTTGGACGAATCGATTGCTCTCGCGAGTTCTCGAAGCACGGCGGAAGTGCTCGTGTCAAAACATTCGAATACGCTCACATTGAAGTCGGGTTGAAGATTTGATTTGCACACAGGAGGTAGCGGAGCATCTGCGACTCGGACCGGTGGCTGTTGAAGACCGCGTGGGGCAGGATCGACCCGCGCTCGCCGGATCGGTCGACGACGGCGAGATCGTCGAGGTCGCCGACGGTCCGGCAGCCGAAGACGTCGCCCAGGAGCTTCGCGAGGTCGTCGCGCGTCACCGTCTCGCCGAAGGACACGCCGATCTCCGCCGGCCCGAGCACGCGCAAATTGAAGCCCGCGGCCTCGGCCTTTTTGGCGACGCCCGCGGCGTCGACGCCGGAGACGACGATGGTGTCGAAGGCCGGCGCGCTGGCGTCGATGCCGTTGGCGTTGAGCGTCTTCGACGCGGCCTGCGCCAACCCCTTGCAGCGCCGCGCGATGGCCTGGAGGCCCTCGGGGCCGTGGTAGATGGCGTAGGCCGCGGCCATGTTCGCCAGCAGCGCCTGGGCCGTGCAGATGTTCGACGTGGCCTTGTCGCGGCGGATGTGCTGCTCGCGCGTCTGCATGGCCATCCGCAGCGCGCGGCCCTTGCGCTCGTTCGCCTCGACGGTCTCGCCGATGATGCGGCCGGGCATGCGGCGCGCGTACTTCTCGGACGTGGCCATGTAGGCCGCGTGGGGGCCGCCGAAGCCCATGGGCACGCCGTAGCGCTGCATGGAGCCCACGGCGATGTCGACGCCGAGCGACGACGGCGGCGGCAACAGCGTGAGCGCGAGGGGGTCCGCGGCGCAGACGGAGAGCGCTCCCGCGTCCTGGGCCTTCTTCGAGATGGACGCGCTGTCGGCGACGACGTCGCCGCGCGTGTTCGGGTACTGCCAGAGCACGCCGACGCAGCCCTCGGGCAGCGCGTCGCTCGCCGCGTCGCCGACCACCACCGCGATGTCCAGCGCCTCGCAGCGCGTGCGGACGACGGCGATGGTCTGCGGGTGGCACTGGGCGTCGCAGAAGAAGGCGAGGGACGCGTTCTTCTTCTTGCCGTTTTTGGAAAGCGCGACGCACATGGACATGGCCTCGGCCGCGGCCGTCGCCTCGTCCAAAAGCGACGCGTTGGCCATCTCCATGCCCGTGAGCTCCGTCACGAGGGTCTGGTAGTTCAGGAGCATCTCGAGGCGGCCCTGGGAGATCTCGGCCTGGTAGGGCGTGTACGCCGTGTACCAGCCCGGGTTCTCGAGCATGTTGCGCAGGATGACGAGCGGCGTGTGCGTCTCGTGGTAGCCCAGGCCCATCATGGACTTGAGCACCTTGTTCTTCTTCGCCATGGTCTCGAGGAGCGCCAGCGCCTCCGTCTCGGCCATGGCCTCGGACTGGTGGCTCCCGAGCTCGAGCGGCTCCGTCAGGCGGATGTTCGCCGGCACCGTCGACGACACGAGCTCGTCGAGGGACGCGAAGCCGAGCGTCGCGAGCATCTCGGTCTGGTCCGCCTCGGACGGGCCCATGTGGCGCTGCTCGAAGGTGTCGAGGGGGTCCAGCGTCTTGACCTCGTGCGTGCTCAGCGGCACGACCGTCGCCACGGGGCGGTCGCCGCCCGCCGGCGCCGTGCTGAACGCGGCGCGCTGGCGGTTCAGCACGCCCCGCAGGAGCCCGAGGCGCCGGGCGCCGGTGAGAGACATGGTCTCGATGAACAGGTGTGCGGCGAAGAGCACGCGACAATTGCCTCTGCGATCCCCGAGTCGACAATTGCCGCTGACGATGCAACTCTGTGGCATCCGCGCGTCTCGTCTCCTCGGCTCATGTTTGCGCGGAAATGAAAACTTATACGAGCCAGGGGAGCGATCCGCACACAAGTAGCGCCCTAGAGGCGCGCTACTTTTAATTGTTTTTTCTGCTGGCCGAAGGCCAGCCCTCCTGAGGCCTCATGCTGGCCGAAGGACAGCCGATTTTTTTTGCTATGTTTCGGTGGCTGGTCTTCCAAAACAAGGGTTTTTGTTGGTATTTTTATTGATTTATTTTGCGCCCGAGACGGCAGGCGCGACACTTTTAATTTTAGATCTCTGCCCTGATACGAGCGACGCGGGGCGCGCGACCGCACCGACGCGGCCGCGACACTTGGCCACGGTACCAATACGGCAAACACGACGCACGACGCCCACCTAGAAAGCCCACCTCCGCCGCGCCGCGCGGCCTCTTACGCCCGAGCCAGGCCTTCGCCATCTGCATGTCGCGCTTCCGAGTCCTCTTACGCGCCGCGGCTCCGAGACCGCGGCGTCAGTCCTTCGTCGTGGGCCGCCGTCGGAGCGCGAGGTCCTCGGCCATGGCCATGGTGCGCTGGTAGGAGTCGTGGGCCTTGGAGGAGAACCACTCCGTCGTCGTGACGTCGGACTTGAGCTCGAGGAACGGCGGGAACGAGGACCGCGTCTCCGCGACGGGCTTCTCGACGAAGAGCGTCGTCGTCCCCGCGGCCGCGGGCGGGCTGTGGAACGTGTCGAGCAGGTAGTACTCGTTCTGCCAGATGAAGGCCTTGCGCGTCTTCTTGATCGACGACCGCTCCGGGTCCGCGTTCTTCAACAACGCCTTGAATTCCCGGAGCGACAGCGTGCGCTCGGCGACGGAGTGCTCGCCGTTGACGCGCTCGCCGCGGACGCGGTGGTGGTACGTCGTCAGGCCCGGCTGGGACTTGCGCGTGATCCGCGACTCCGTGCCGTCGGACGTCTTGAGGAAGATGTGCTCGAGGCGCCACTCGGCGTGCTCGCAGTCCGCGGGCAGCCCCGACGGCGCCTCGACGATCCACCAGTGGGGCTTCGCCTTCGGGCCGGGCACGCCCAGCGACTCGCAGACCGCCGCCGTCGTCCGCCGCATCTTCTCCTCGAAGCCGCCCGTGTTCTCGATGATGCGCAGGTTGTTGTGGCCGACCCACGCGCGCGACAGCTTGCCGTCGAGCGCGACGGCCTCGTCCCGCGACTCGGAGCGCGCCTTGTTGTTCTCCAGGGTGTAGAAGGCCTCGGCGCCGACGGCCGCGGTCACCAGATGGACGACGGCCTCGTAGCGCTGGTCCCTCAGCTGCGGCACGGTCCAGCCGTTCTCCTCGCAGACCTCGTCGAAGGCGTCCTTGCCGACGTAGGCGAGCACGTCCATGGTGCCCCGGTCGCAGAGCAGCACCGCGTGGCGGCCGAGCGGCAGCGACACTTTGGCCGCGATCTCTTCGAAGCAGTCCTCGAGGTGCATCTGCTCGCGGAGGATCGCCGTCTCCCAGCCCACGTGCTGGGCCACGTCGTAGCTCCCCGGCGACGCGCCGCCCGTGATCGTCAGCGTCGCGAGCTCCGGCACGACGAAGACGTCGAAGCCCATGTTCGTCAAACGGAGCGACAATTTGCTCATCGCCGTCGTCTTGCCCGCGCACGGGCCGCCCGTGATGACGATGCGGTGCACGCGCGCCGGGCCGAGCTCGCCCGTGCCCGCCGTCCACGCCGGCGCGCGCGTGCTGTTGCGGTGCGTCGGCTGCGCGAGCTCGAGCGGCTCGCAGGCGGCGAACCGGTCGGCGCCTACGTGTGGTGCATGTTTGCTGTTTTTTCGGCGCGCGTTGAAAGACGCGGTCGTGCGCACCCGTTGCGACGGCCAAGGCCGCCGCGGCCCGCGGCACGGCCGGCAACAGGCGCGACAACATCGCGTCCGACGACGCGGCCTGTGTCGCCCGCTCAGGTTGTCGACTTGAAACTGCAGAACTTGCAGCGCGCGTGGTCTGCGCCTGCCTGACGCCCCACCCGCCGCCGTGTTGTCGCGTCTGGGTCGAGGCGCCCTCGTCGTGGCGAACCTCGTCTCCGGCGCGCCGCCAGCGAGCCGCGCGCGGACTCGCCGGACTTCGGAGCTCAGCGGCTCGCGGCGGCTGTCCGAATCGCGACACCGACTCATGTGACCGAGCCGCCGCGCCGCCTCGCCCGACGGCCCCAAAAAGACGAACCGCGCAGGCGAAACCCATCCAAATTTACGACCCCGCGGCCTAGTTCTTCGCCTTCTTCTTCGGGGAATCCGCGCTCTTCGGCTCCGCCTTGCGGAACTTGAGCTTGTCGCGCTGCTCGTCCTCGATGGGCAGGATCTCGGACGCCTTGAGCGTGAGCGCCTGGTGCGTCGCCTCGAGGTCGCGGACGAGCTTGCCGAAGCCGCCGGCCTCGAGCGACGCCGCGTGGTCCGTGCCCTTCCAGGTGCCTGTGTGGAAATCAAATCTTCAACCCGACTTCAATGTGCGCGTGATCGAACGGTGTGAACCAGACTTTTTGGCTTCGAGAACTCGACGAGAGCCATCGATCCATCCAAAAATCAGCCGAATCGACTTCGATTTGACCGAGCGAGAGAATTTCAAAGTTTGGTCGGGACGTCCCACACCAGCGGTTGATTTCCACACAGCCGGGTGCGGTCCTTGGTGAAGTGGCGCTCGATCCACTTGGCGCCGAGCGTGTAGGCGGCGACGTCGATGGCGATGCCGAGGTGGTGGCCGCTGAAGGCCAGCTCCTTGACGCGGTCGCCGTAGCGCTCGTAGAGACGCACGAGCTCGAGCATGCACACGGACGGGAACGGCACCGGGTAGCCCGACGTGCAGTTGTAGACCACGAGGCGCTTCGCCTGGCCCGTCGCCTCGAAGAAGGCGACGACGTCCTCGATCTCCGCGAGCGTCGTCATGCCCGTGGACACGTGGACGTCGCCCGCGTACTCGTCGCGGAGCACCTTGAGCATGTCGAAGTGGTTGTTGCACGCCGACGGCACCTTGAGGTAATCGCAGGGGATGTCCGCCATCTCGCGCGCCGACGTCACGTCCCAGACCGACGTCGCCCACTCGATGCCGATCTCCTTGCCGTACGCGTGCAGTTGCTCGTGCTGCTCCTTGCTGAACTCCAAAAATTCGCGGTGCGCGCCGTAGGTCTGGCCGTAGGCGTTGTGCGGCACGGGGTGCGGCGCGTCGTACTGCTCCTTCGTCAGGAGCTCGCGCGGGCAGCGCTTCTGGAACTTGGCGTACCCCGCGCCCGTCGCCTTGGCTAAAAGCATGAGCTCCTTGGCCGTCTCGAAGCTGCCCATGTGGTTGCACCCGATCTCCGCGATGACCTTGCAGGGCTCGTACTTGAAGCCGTCCTTCATCTGCTGGAGGTACGCCGTCGGGCCGCCGGAGACCATCTGCGACATGGCGGGTAGCTACCCGCGTGAATTTTTATTGCTGGCGCCGTCACAGGACGCCGGAGCGGCTTCACTAAAACAAGATGAACCCCTGCGGCAAACATTAGTCTTCTCAGTGCCGCCGCAGGAGCGCGCCGTAGCCGGGTATGCGGTCGTCGACGCCCGCGGCGCGGAGCATGGCCCAGAGGAAGGCCTGCGTCGACGTCACGACGGGCTTGCCCAGGTCCGCCTCGAGCGCGTCGACGAAGCCGTGGTCGCACGCGCGGAACGCGGAGCACCCGACGACGAGGACGTCCGCGTCGCAAACGTCGACGGCCCGCGCCCAGGCCGCGATGCAGGCCGGCGTCACGGCCGTCGTCTGCGCGTCGACCTCCAGGCCCATGGTCGCCCGCGCGCGCACGGCGACGCCCGCCTCGGCCTCGAGCGTCCGAGCGTTCGCCGCGGAGAGCGCCTCGACGTAGGGCGTGAGCAGCGCCACGCGTCGCGCGCCCAGCGCTCGCAGCGCGGCCACCTGCGCCCGCGCCATGTCCGTCGTCGCCGCCGCCGGGCACGCGCGCCGGAGCTCCGCGTCGACGCGGTCCTGGCCGAGCGTGAACGCCATCGACGTGCAGGCGAGCCCCACGGCCGTGCAGCGCTCCGGCGGCCGCAGCACGGCGGCCGCGGCGCCCAGGGACCCGGCGGCGCGCTCGAAGGTGTCCGCGGCGATGGCGTCGCTGTCCATGCGCAGCTTCTGGAGGCGCAGCTCGACGCCCGGGACGCCCTCGATGAGCTTCGGCCCCTCGCGGTCGAGGACGAAGTCCGTCGGTATCTGGATGCAGCCCAGCACGGCGCGCGGCGGCGCGCCGAAGGCCACGGGCGGCAGGCTCGCGAAGGCGCGTCGGACGGCGGCCCCGGGGCTGCCCGCGGCCATCATCGCGCAACTTGCAGAGGCAAGGCCGCGGCACCGTGGGATGATGCCGCAAGGCATGGACTAGCACGAGACTAGCCGCTCGTGATGATCATCGGTGCAGCGCTTCGAGGCCGCGGCATGAGCCGCTTGCTCGTCCTCGCGTGTCTCGCGCGCGCCGCGGCGCTCGAGGCGCTGCACCGGCTCGTCGACGCGCACGCGCCGACGCCGCGGCGCTGCCGCGTGGCGACGATCGACGGCCGCCGCGGCCTCGTCGCCGTCGGCGACGCCGCGCCCGGCGACGTGCTCCTCGAGGTGCCTTTCTCCTGCTGCGTCGTCGAGCGGGACGCCGCGGCAGACGGCTCGCACTGGGCGTCGCGGCTCGCGTCGCGCCTCGTCGACCTCGGCGCCGACGATCCGTACGCGGCGTCGCTGCCCGCGGAGCCGCCGCTCGCGCTGCACCGCTGGGACTCGGGCGCCGCGCTCGCGCTCCTGGGCAACGCGACGCTCGAGGCCGAGGCCGACGGCATCTACTTCTGGCGCGACGACCAGTGGGCCGCCCACGAGGCGCGCGGCGGCGGCGGCGACCGCGACGCCTACCTCCGCCTGCTCGACCTCGTCTGCTCGCGGACGCTCCGCTGCGGCGACGAGCTCGTCGCGGCGCCGCTCCTCGACATGGCGAACCACCGCGCCGAGGACGAGGGCGGCGGGACCTACGGCTGCACGGGGGCGTCCATCGCGCTGCGCGCGGGCCCGCGGGGCAGGAAAAGAGTGCGAAATTCCCAACTTCAAAGGTTCCTCTCTCGGCCGTTTTCCACTCGTTCTGGCTGATTTTTGGACGAGCGATCATCTCTCGGAACGGTCTCGAAGCGTGGATGCTTTTTCCGGAACGCGCGCGCGCGGAACACTCACGTTGAAGCGACGTTGAATCTCTCTTGTCCTGCCCAGGCGGGCCCGCGGGGCGCGCGCGACGGCGACGAGCTCTTCCTGGACTACGGGCGGCGCGCGAACGACCACTGGCTCCTGTTCTACGGCTTCTGCCCGGAGCACAACCGCGACGACGCGGTCACCCTCGACGGCGCGTCGCTGTCCTGGCGCGACGCGCCGCTCGCGCCGGACGACGGCCGGCGGCCGGCCGCGGACGCCGCGCTCGCCGCGCTCGGAGACGCGGCCGCCGGCGGCGGCGGCGAGCAGGCGGCCCTCGCGGCGACGTACCGCGATTCGAAGCGGAGGCTGCTGCGCGCGCTCACGGGCGCGCCGCCGGCGGACGCGGCCGCGTCCGCGTTCCTGGCGTAACCTCGCGTCAATTACCCCCCGCGCTAGAAGACGATCTCGCGGCACTGCTCGGCGATGGCGACGTTGTAGGTGGGCTTGAGGAGGTTGCCGTAGGGCATCTCGTAGTCGTAGGCGCCCGGGCCCGGCGCCTCGTCCGCCTCCGTGCCCGGCGCGAAGCCGCCGGCGCCGAAGCGCGGCGCGGACGAGAGCATGAGGTTCTTGCGGCCCGGCTTGCCCGGCTTGATCGTCGTCGGCATGGAGTAGGCGCCCGGGCCGATCTTCTGGGACGTCATCGACGCGGCCTCGGTGAAGCGCGCGACGGGGCCGGAGCCGAGCTTGGCGACGCCGCGCGCCGCGCGCCACTCGGTCTTGAGCTCGTAGGCGCCCGGCGGCGGCACGGCGTCGCGCGCGGGCCGCGTGTCCGCGAGCGACGTCCGCGACGTGTCCGACGCGAAGTAGGAGCTCGGCTTCACGGACCCGACGCCGCGCGTCGGTTTCGGCCGCGGCTTGTTGCGGTACGTCGACAGCGCGGGCCCCGTCACCCGGGCCCCTCTGCCCGGCGTCCGCCCCGGCGTCGACAGCGACGGCGTCCGCAGCGTCGACTGGGACGCCGTGCCGGCGAACTCGTCGTCGTACTCGCCGGGCCCGGGCATGGCCAGGCGCGTCGCCTCGCCGGGCTGGCTCGCGAAGCGGCGAGTGGACGTCCCGAAGGCGCCCGTGCGGCTCGTGAGGCGCTTGCCCACGTCCTCGGCGAGGCCCGGGTGGTCGTAGGACCCCGGGCCGATGGACGCGCCCGCCGCCGTCGCCGACCGGCCGCCCAAGCCCCGGCCGTCGAAGCGCGTCGACGTCGAGTCGAAGGCGATGCCGCCGCCGCGCGGCGGCGGCGCGCCCGGCGCGCGGCCGCCGTGCTTGGGGCCGAGGTGCCGCGCGCGCGCGCGCTGGCGCTTGTCCCAGGTCGACTCCGTGCCCAGGTACTGGCCCGGCCCCGGCGCGGCCTTGGACGCGGACATGGTCCGGAGCTCGTCCTCGAAGCCTGCGTGGAACTCGAATCTTCAACCCGACTTCAATGTGCGCGTCATCGAACGAGTTGGACCAGACTCTTTCGCTTTGCTTCGAGGACTCGACGAGAGCCATCGATCCGTCCAAAAATCAGCCGAATCGACTTCGATTTGATCGAGATAGGGGTTGATTTCCACACGGGTCCTCGCGCGGCGCGTTGGACCCGAACGTCGACGGCAGCTGCGCGATGGACCGGCGGAACGCGGGGATGGGCCGGTAGTAGGTGCCCGGCCCGGGCGTCGCGTCGGCCTGGAGCTTGTCGCCGACGTCGATGCGCGTGCGGCCCACCTGGGCAGGACAAGAGTGCGAAATTCCCAACTTCAAAGGCTCCTTTCTCGGCCGTTCTCCACTCGTTTCGGCTGATTTTTGGACGAGCGATCATCTCTCGGAACGGCCTCGAAGCGTGGATGCTTTTTCCAGAGCGCGCGCGCGCGGAACACTCACGTTGAAGCGACGTTTAATCACCCTTGTCCTGCCCCGCGGCCCACGGCGGACGAGAAGACGGCGGATTTCCGCGGCGCGCCGTCGCGCGTCGGCGCGCCGCCGGACGTGTCCGCGCCGACGGCGCGCGGGTCGGGCTTCGACGGCGCGAGCTGGCCCGGCCGCGGCGCGTGGTAGGCCTGCTCCTGGCCGAGGTAGCCGGCCTCCGCGGGCCGCGCGTCGAAGGTGCTGTGGCCGCCCGTCTTCGCGAAGTCGACGACTCTCCCCATGGGCTTTGTCACCGAAACGTTGGGCCGGTAGTCCGCGGGGCCCGCGCTGTCCTCGTGGGTCATGCCGCCGTAGCCATGATTCACCATGCGCTGCAAGACCAGCTCGCCGTCGGGCCCCTCCTCGTAGCCGAAGCACTGTTTGCGGGTGGGGATCGACGGCGCCGTCGGCACGCGCTCCCAGCGGACCGCGGGCTCCTCGGGCGCTCCCAGCGCTTCCACGCCCGGCGCGCGGTGGCTCACGCGGCCGAAGCCCGACGCCTGCTGGAGGTAGGCGCCGGGCCCGGGCGTCGCGGCGCTCGCCGCGGGCGCGGGCGCTTTCAGCCGCTGCGTGCCGGACCGGAACGGCGCGGAGATCTTGCGCCGGTCCACGACGATGGACCCCTTGATCTCGTAGGCGCCGGGCGCCGGGTTCTTGCGCACGGAGCTCGCCGGGTCCTCGAAGGCGCGCTCGCTCTTGCCGAAGCCGGCGACGGCGGGCTTCGACTTCTTGATGGCGTGGTAGTCGCCGTTGTTGTAGGACCCGGGGCCCAGCAGCTCCGTCACGGAGCTCCGCTGGCCGCTCGGGTCGAAGAACCGGTCCGTCTTCTGCACCGCGAACATCTTGGCGGCTAGCGGCGGCGCGGCGCCGGCGCCGACGAGCAGCCCCGAGCTAGCGCAGCCCAGGTGCCGAAACAGCAGAGAGATACTTGAGGGCGGCGCGGGCTGGGCGAGGCAAACCTTTTGATCGCTGTGGCGAGTAGCCGCTCGCAGCCGCTCAGCAGACGAGTTTGACGGCCACAGCGCTCGTCGCCGCCCGATCGTCGCGCCCCCGCGTTCGCGACCGCACCGCGCCGCCGCCTCGCCTCGCGCGCGCGCCGCCGCCTACCGCCGCCCGCCGCCGCGACCCGTGCGCGGTCCGGCGACCGAGACCATGGCCGACGTCGCCATGCCCGGCGCGTCCAGCGAGGTGCGCGAGGTGACGCGCATCGAGCGCATCGGCGCCCACAGCCACATCCGCGGCCTGGGCCTCGACGACTGCCTCGAGCCGCGCCAGGTGAGCCAGGGCATGGTCGGGCAGCACGGCGCGCGGAAGGCCGCCGGCGTCGTGTACAAGATGATCAACGAGGGCAAGATCGCCGGCCGCGCGATCCTCCTCGCGGGCCGCCCGGGCACGGGCAAGACGGCCATCGCCATGGGTCTGGCGCAGGCCCTGGGCGAGGACACGCCCTTCACGTCCATGGCCGGCAGCGAGATCTTCTCCCTCGAGATGTCGAAGACCGAGGCGTTGACGCAGGCGTTCCGCCGGTCCATCGGCGTGCGCATCATGGAGGAGACGGACATCATCGAGGGCGAGGTCGTCGAGATCCAGACGGACCAGCCCAACGCCGGCGAGGCGACCGCCCAGAAGACGGGCCGCGTCACTTTGTGTACCACCGAGATGGAGACGGTCTACGACCTCGGCGCGCGCATGATCGAGGCCATGCAGAAAGAGAAGGTCACGGCCGGCGACGTCATCTCCATCGACCGCGCGTCCCACAAGGTCACGAAGCTCGGCCGGTCCTTCACGCGGTCGCGCGACTACGACGCCATGGGCCCCAGCGTCCGCTTCGTGCAGTGCCCCGAGGGCGAGCTCCAGAAGCGCAAGGAGGTCGTCCACACGGTCTCGCTCCACGAGATCGACGTCATCAACTCGCGGGCCCAGGGCTTCCTGGCCCTCTTCGCCGGCGACACGGGCGAGATCCAGGGCAGGAAAAGAGAGCGAAATTCCCAACTTCAAAGGCTCCTATCTCGGCCGTTTTCAACTCGTTTCGGCTGATTTTTGGACGAGCGATCATCTCTCGGAACGGTCTCGAAGCGTGCATGATTTTCCGGAACGCGCGCGCGCCGAACACTCACGTTGAAGCGACGTTGAATCACTATTTCCCTGCCCAGGCGAGATCAAGGCCGAGGTCCGCGAGCAGATCGACGCCAAGGTCGCCGAGTGGCGCGAGGAGGGCAAGGCGACGATCGTGCCCGGCGTCCTCTTCATCGACGAGGTCCACATGCTCGACATCGAGTGCTTCTCCTGGCTGAACCGGGCCCTGGAGTCGGACCTGGCGCCCGTGCTCATGGTCGCCACGAACCGCGGCATCGCGAAGATCCGCGGCACGCAGTACAAGTCGCCCCACGGCATCCCCATCGACCTGCTGGACCGCCTCATGATCATCTCCACGACGCCTTATAGTGATGCGGAGCTCAAGAAGATCCTGACCATCCGCTGCGAGGAGGAGGACGTCGAGATGGAGGACGACGCGCTCGACCTGCTGACGCGCATCGGCGCGGAGACGTCGATGCGCTACGCGATCCAGATGATCATCACGGCGTCCCTGGTCGCCTACAAGCGCAAGGCCGCCCTCGTCGAGATCGAGGACATCAAGAAGGTCTACTCGCTCTTCGTCGACCTGAAGCGGTCGACGCAGTTCCTCATGGAGTACCAGTCCGAGTTCATGTTCAACGAGATCGCCGACGACTCCGAGGACGAGGAGAGCGACGACGACGACGACGACGACGACGAGGAGCTCGCCGACGCCGACGCCTAGGCCCGCGGGGCCCCTCCCGCCGCGCGGCGCGGCGCGGCGACGACCTAACATTGCCACTCGACTTCTTACGACGTGAGCCGCGCCTTGCGCACGCGCGGCGGCGACGTCCGCGCCGCGGTCATGCGCCGCCGCACCTCGCGGAGGTTCCGCGCCGCGAGGTCGTCGCCCCGCGCCGCCGCGAGCCCGAAGAGCCGCGCGGCCTCGCCGAGGTCCTCGGCGACGCCCGCGCCGGAGACGTAGGCCAAAGCCAGGTTGTTCTGGGCCTATGACGGTAATCTCATTGTGTTCCCACCCCGAATCTCGCGAACATCGTCGCGGCCGCGGGACGCCGCTCCGCGCCTTCGCGTCGCCGCGCGCCGCCGCGAGCGCGTAGAGCCGCGCGGCCTCGGCCGCGTCTCGCCGCACGCCGCGGCCCTCGGCGTGGAGGACGCCGAGGTTCAGCGTCGCGCGCGCGTGGCCGCCGTCGGCCGCCTTGCGGTACCACCCCGCCGCGGCCGCCGCGTCGCGCGGCACGCCGCGGCCGCCCTCGCACGCGATGCCGAGGTCGACCATGGCGCCGAGGTGGCCCAGCGCCGCCGCGCGCTCGTAGTAGGACGCCGCGCGGGAAAGGTCGACGCGCAGGCCCATCTTCCCGTCGCGGTAGTAGAGCCCCAGTTGCGTCATCGCGGCCGTGTCGCCGCGCTCCACGTTCTTGCGCATGAGATCGATCGTCTCCGCGTCGTCGAAGGGGACGACGTGGCGGCAGAGCGGGCAGCGCACCTCGCCCGTCGTCGCCTGCTGGTAGGCCGCGTACTTCCAGCCGCACGTCGTGCAGATGAGCTTCGAGCAGCACGAGAGGAACGAGTTCTCCTTCAGCGGCCGCTGTTCCAGGCATATCGGGCACGGCTCGCGCCTACCGAGTTTGCATCGGTTTCCCGGTCAAACTCTCGAAAATCGTCACGGTCGCAGGACGCTGGCTCGCGCTCGAAGGGCTCGTCCTCCTGGATTAGGACGGGGTTCGGCGGGTCCCGCGGCGGCGGCGCCTGCGTCGGCGGCGGCGCCGGCGGCGGCGCCGGCCGGCGGCGCGGCGCGGCGGAGCAGGCCGGCGCGTGCCGCTTGCGGTCCGCGACCTGGCAGCTGCGCGCGCAGTAGTAGACGTCGCCGCAGCGGCACTTGAGCCGGCACGCCTTGCCGCAGGCCGCGCAGGTGCGCACGCTCATCGTGGGGATGGGCAGCCCATTGCGCATGCAAGCTCGGGGATGTGGTAATATTGAAGGCACGGTTCCGCGCGGCCAAAGGAGAATTAGCGAGGGGCGCCCGGGCGCCTTCCAGGTGAGGAGAATTAGCGAGGGGCGCCCGGGCGCCTACCAGGTGAGCAGGCCGGAGTCGTCGTCGCCGCCGTCGCCGTCGTCCGCCGCGGCGACGCCGGCGTTGGGCGCGTCCCAGAAGTCGTCCTCGTCCTCGTCGTCGCGCCACGCGAAGAGGTCGTCCTCGACGAAGCCCTCGCCGGCGAAGCTCGGCGAGACGACGTCGCTCAGGTCGACCTGCTCCGCCTTGGCCCAGAGCGCGTCGATGTCGTAGAACTCGCGGCTCGCGGGCGTCATGACGTTGACGATGACGTCGCCGAAGTCCAAACACGTCCAGCCGCCGTCCGCGCCGCCCTCGACGTGGCTCGGTTCGCGGCCGAAGAGGTCCCGGGCGTCGTCGGAGATCGCCGCGGCGATGGCGTCGTTCTGGGGCCGCGACCGGCCGTCGGCGACGACGACGAAGCTCGCGATGTCCGTGAGCGGAGCCGTATGGAACGCGACGGTCCGCGACGCCTTGCGGCCGTCGGCGGCGGCGGCGACGCACTTGACGAAGGGCAGCAGCGGGTCGTCCTCGGACACCGTGCCGGCCTCGGACGTGGGAACGATCGGCGCGTCGATGAGGCCGCGCATGAGTTCGCTGCGCTTCTTGCCCTGGCGCACGCGGCCCTCGCCCTTGGGCCGGTCGTTGCGCTTCATCGCCTCCTTCTTCATGGCCGCGAGGGCGACGCCCGGGCGGAGCGGCGCACGCGGCGCCCAGGCCGCGGCGCAGGCCACGAAGGCGAGGAGGACCTGGGGATGGCCATAGCTCCTTCGCCGCTTCTGGATGGACTGCAACGTTGAAGCCTGCGCGACGCGTGCGGACGCCTCCGGGACGCGTCGGCGCCGCGACCCCGTGGTCTCGTCTTTTTCTCCTCAGGTCGCGCCGTCCGAACGTGCTCGGCCACGCCGGCAGGATTCGCCGCGGCCGCGCGCGCCGCGACGAACCGACCGCGCCGCGAAATACCGGCGGACGGAGTCCCGCGACAGCTCCCCGCCGCGCCCTCGCGAGTGCCGCCCCCCGAAGAACCACCCAGCCGCTCCTTACAGCCCCCCTGCCTCCTCGAGCATGGCCGCGAGCGAGCCGTCGCGCGCGGCCGCGGCGAGGCCCGGCGTGCCGCGGAAGAGGCCGCCGATGGACTTGCCGCCGACGAAGACGTGGGGCAGGGACATCTCGCCCGTGAGCGCGTAGAGCTCGTGCCGCTTCGCCGGGTCCGCGACGAGGCCCGGCAGCCATTCCGCGCCCAATGACACGACCTTGACGCCGCGCGCGCCGTGCTCCTCGAGCAACTGGAGCGCACTGCCGAGGCCCAGGGAGAAGTCCATGGTGTAGATGACGACGCTGTGCTCCGCCGTCTCCCGCTTGATCGACGACCGCACGGCCGCCTTGTCGTAGTCGCCGGCCCACACGGGCGACAGCGCCTCGGCGACGGGCTTCGTGAGGGGCGCGAGGGCGCCCGTGAGGCGGTGGGCGACCGGGGCGAGGGAAACGACGCCGCTGCAAGACGCCGCCGCGGCGAGCGCGGCGAGCACGCGCGAGAATCGCATCTTTTTGTCGATGGCCACGCGGGTGCCTCAACGCAGTGTTGCACAAAAACGTCATCCGTCAGTTGGTTGATGCGTTGTTGCCTTTTTTAACACGCCGCGGCGACGCTGGCGCTCGTCGTCGGCGCACATCTCATCCGACCTCGTCCGACGAGTGGGGACGGGAGTCTCGGCGCTCCATCGTACCCTCATGGTCGCGGACGTCGACCGTCGCGTCCGTACGCGCGAACGTCAGTGAGTCGGAGTCCACTGTGACTGTCCAGGCAGACCGCGAGTCCTCGCTCGAGTCCACACAGAAACCCCGGCGCCCCCCCCCCCCCCGACAAGGGCGACCTACCGCTCTCGCTCTTAGTCAGCCGCGAGGCTCGCCGCGTGCGCGCGTCCCGGGGGGACTCGACCGCCGCGGCGGCGCTTGGCCGGCGGCCCCCGCGCGGGGGGCCGGCCGCCGTCGTCGCGGCGCGCGCGCTAGATGGCGGCGCGCGCGCCCTCGTCGGAGGACGTGGACGAGATGCGGCGGGGCGCGCAGCGCTCGGCCGCGTCCGCGCCGCGGGGTTGGTGGCGCACCTCGATCGTCGCGTCGCCGGCGAGGCCGCGGTCGCGCGCGCAGGAGAGCAGGGGCAGCTTGGCGCCGCCGTGGAAGAGCGCGAGCTCCGTCTCGCGGAGCGCGTTGTGCTTGGCGTAGTGGCGCCGGAGGTTGCCGAACGTGTCGACGTCGCGCATGACCGTCGGGTAGCGGTGGCCGCGCGCGACCGCGACGCCCCCGCCCGGCGGCTCGAGGTCCGCCGCGGCGACGACGACGAGGGCGACGTCCTTGGCCGGGCCGCCGCAGGCCGCGCTGGGCCACTGGCTCGGCGACGACGCCTCCAGATCGTCGTCGCCGGGCGACGACGACCGCGGCGTCCGCGGCGGCCGCGGCGGCGACCAGCGCTCGGAGTCGGAGGAGTCGGGCGGGCGGGCGGCCCGGCCCCGGGGCGCCGCGGGCGACCGGCCGAAGATGGGCCGGAGGTCGCACGTCGCCGCGGGCGCGCCGAAGACGGCCGCGCCGTCCGCGTCCTGCGACGCGGCCGCGGCGCGGAGCCAGGCGGACTCGGGCCGCGCCCAGGACGGCACGAGGTGGCGCTTGTGGTCCGGCAGCAGGGGCAGGCAGTGGAGCGGCTCGTCCTCGTCGTCGTACTCGCTCATCGGGTACGTCGGCGAGGACGCCGGGCGCTCGACGTCGGCGGACGCGACGCTGTCGAGCGACTCGGCGGACCGCCGGCGGCTCCGCGGCGTCGGCTCCGGCGCCGTCTCCGCCGTCGCGTCGCGGGGCCGCTTTTTGGACGGCCGGCCCGCGGCGGTTGGCGCGGCGGTTGGCGGCGCCGGCGCCGCGCAGAGCACCTCGAGGAGCGGCGGCTGGGCGGCGGCGCCGCGGCGGCCGACGACGGACGCCAGGGTCCGCGTCGACGCCAGCGGCCGGCCCTTCCACTGCAGGCGCACGTCCGCGTCCTCGACGACGCGGTAGCGGCCCCGGATCCAGGCCGCGAGGTCGCCGACGTTGTGCAACGACGCCGGTATGAGCACCTCGCGGCTGCGCAGGCGCGACGCGACGGCGGAGGAATGCGTCGATGCGAACCGGAGCAGGATGCGCGTGCTCGTAGGGGCAAAATTGGCCGCCATCGTTTGGCTGATCGTCGAGAGGTCGAACTCTAAACGACAAAGTCGTTGGTTGAGGTGCACCTTAAAACGCCGCCGGGGCGTTTGAGGCGTGTGCCGGTGCCCCGAGGTAGATCTAGGTTTGCTCCTGTGTGCGAGGCTTGATCGTGACACATGCGTTGGTGTCTGCGCTCGGCGATACGTGAAGCTGGGCATCTCAAGCAAAAAAGCGCGGGGAAACTGCGGCGCGCGAGCAGGCGCGCGTCGAGTTAAGTTTGATTACCCCGGCCCGCCGGGCCAGCCGCTGCGACACTGTCAAATCAGGACCTCACAGGTTACACCGCCGGCAGCGGGTCCCGCGCGTCGCCCGCGGGGACGAAGCCGGCGTCCTCCTCGACGAGCAGCTCCGCGTCGGGCCAGCGCGTCCGCAGGATCGACAGGAGCTTCGGCCCGGACGCGCGGTCGACGCGCCGCCGCGCCGCGGGCGGGAGGTCGTCGAAGCGGCGCCAGATCGTGTGGTTGCCGGCGCGCGCCGCGCCGCAGAACTTGCACGCGTCCGAACCCGCCGCGTTCTCCCCGAAGCAAAAGGTCCGGAAGCGGTCCTTGTAGCACGCCGCGCAGCGCCACTTCTCGTCCGGGTCCGCGTCGCCGAGCTCGAAGAGCGGCGGCGGCGGCGCGTCGGCGGGCCGCGCGGGCGATTGGGCGTCGTCGGCGACGTGCGCCGCGGTCGCGAGCGCGAGCTCGTAGCGGTGCTTTCGCCAGGCCCGCGGCGCCGCGGCCTTGTCCGCCGGGTGCGCCTGGACGACGGACTCAATCTCGCCGACGACGAGGCGGTAGCGCGTCGGCCGCCAGGTGCCGGGGGTTTTGGGCGCGGGCTCGAGCGACGCGGGCGCGAGCCGGAGCCTGCGGAGCGCGCGGTTCGGCGGGAGGCCGTTCCAGTGCCAGAGGTCCACGGCCCCGCCGTCGGCCGCCGCAAACCAGAGCGTCGTGAAGTGGGACCCTGCGCCGCGCGCGTGGGAACGCGCGACGCGCGAAAAAAGAGGCGCCGCGCCGCGCCGCCGTGCACGATCCACGCGCGGCCCGCCGGGCTCTTGAGCTCGTCGGCGACGGGCACGCCGCTCTCGACCTCGTCGGCGCTGAGGAGCCCTACGGGCGACGCGCCGCGCCAGTCGGCCTTGGCCGCGTCGCCGCCGCCGTAGGCGCCGACGTCGCCGCGGGCCACGCCGAAGAGCAGGAGGTTCAGCAGCTCCGTCGTGCACAGGTGGAAGGGCCCGTAAATTAAGGGCCCGCCGCCGCCGTCGACGGCCGCGTCGGCGAGGCACCGCGCGGCGCCGCGGCTCAGCACGCAGGAGTAGACGAGCAGCGCGACGCCGCCCCGGGCCTCGAAGGCGGCGCCGACGCGCGCTTCGACGGCGCCGACGTCCGCGGCGACGACGTCGTGCGTGACGGCGCCGCCGACGTCGCCGGCCCACCGCGCGACCTTGGCGTCGCCGTCTATCCCGCAGACCGCGACCATGGCCGCCGCCGCCCGCCGCAGCGCCGACGCGCCGTCGGCGAGGCCGTAGGTCGCCGCGAGCGCGTGCGCCGCGGCGAGCACGCCGCAGGGGCCGTTGCCGTGCTGGCGGACGACGAGCTGGCCCCGCTCGAACTCGGCCTCCAAACCCTGGTCGAGCCACGCGGCCGGGAACGCGCCGCCGGCCCCGACGAGCGCCGCCGTCGCCGCGGCGTGCTCGTCGTCGCCGGCGGCCGGCGGCGCCGGCGGCGCCGGCGGCGCGCCGCCGCCGTCGAAGAAGATGCTCACGGCGATCTCCATGTTGCCGCCGGCCATCTCCAAATACATGGCCGCGGCCTGCTCGTCGGCGCCGGTCATCGCGGCAAAGTCGGCGGCCGACATGGTCGTTATGTTATGTCGGCGCGGTTCGCTTGCCACAGACGACGGACACAGACGCCGGACAAGGGCCGCGCAGACGCCGGACACAGACGGCGGCCCGGCGGACGAGGTCGGAGCGCGGCGCGGCGCGGCTTGCCACAGCTCGCCAAGACAAGCACGACCTCAACAAGCAGTGCTCGACGCGCGATGCTCCGCCTGCTCGCGCTCGCTGCGACAAGCGTAGCACTCAAGGTCCCCGTCTCCGTCAAGGACGTGGCCAACGGCATCCGCGATGGCCTCCAGTCGGGGCTCAAAAGCCGAAACAGTCGCCTCTCCGTCGAGCTGCCGCCCGGCGCGCCGCTGGCGCTCCAGGGCGACGAGCCCGACGACTTCTCCTGGTTCGGGAAGCAAGAAACAGAAAAGGCCAAAGTGATCAAAGGGGACCGGGCCCTCGCGGACTTCGCGGCGCTGCTCTTCCCCTCGGACTTTGCCGTCGCGGCCGTCTACGCGGCGCCCGAAGCGGCCAAGGCCGCCGCGGCGAGCAAGAAGAGCGCGGCGCGGTGCACCGTCGCCGCGCTGCCCGTCGACGGCGCCGCCGGGCAAGAAGAAGAAGAAGAAGAAGAAGAGCCGCGCCGCGCCCGCGAAGGGCTTCGGCGCCGCGCCCGCGCCCGCGGAGGCGCCGCCGCCGTGGTGCCCCGCGCTGGGCCTCCGGGACCGGTGCGACGTCGTCCTCGTCGTCGGCCGCCTCGACGAGGCCGCCGCCGCCGCCGTCGACGCCGTCGCGGACGACCTCGGCGACGAGGTCGCGATGGTCCTGCTGAACTCGCGCGTCGACGGCCTCGCCGCGCGGCCCGGCGCCGTCGCCGGCGCCTGCGGGGCCTTCGCGCCGGCCTTCGCGCTGTCACCGCCGCCGGAGCCGGCGGGCGGCGGCGGCGGCGACCTCGTCGCGTCCTACGAGCACCCGGGGCCCTGGGCCATCGGCAAGCCGAAGCTCCTCGGCGGCTGCGACGTGCTCTGGCGTGGTGATGACGTGCCAACAGCTGCAGACACAGACACAGCCCTCGCGGCCGTCGACGACCCGCTCGCGGCGGCGAAGCAGCTCTTCGGCCGGTAAGCGCGGGGAGTCTTGTACACACGGCGCGCCTAGGCGCGCTTCGGCGCGGCCTCGCGCGGCGGCGGCGCGGCCGCGGCCGCGAGGATGGTCTTGGCCTTGAGGAGCTCGGTCTCCGCGGCCTGGAGCGCGTCGCCGTCGCCGTCGACGTCGGACCAGGAGTCGGAGTCGGCGTCCTCGGCCTCGAGGACGACGGCGCCGCCGTCGCTGCCGGAGACCGGCGCGGCGAACATGGACGCGTACCAGCTCTCGAACGCGCCGCCGTCGCCCGATTCGCCCGCGGCGCC